ATTTAATTCCTCATTTACTTGGCCTCTTGGGACGGTTTGGGCACACACTGGGAGCGAAAGGGTTACAAGCATGAATGTCCTCCACCATGTACTAAAAAAAAAAAGTTCCAGCTCCAGAAAAGCAAAACAAATCAGATGAGTCAAAGCTACTGCTCCCTACTTAAAAATTATTTGTATAAAAGCCATGAAGTAATTTTCACTCTTATATTCTCTGGCAATATTAATATTGGTTCCCTCCCCAGACAATCCCCTACTGTTAAAAAAATCCTATTATTTTTCCATGGAGTCACCTATACTTCGTATTTTCATTTGACTGATTAAAAAAAAAAGTCCTTTCTAAGCTCCTGGTAGTTGTTTCCTATCCGGATATCTGTACGTTAAAGATAATGAAACTTTGTGTATCTGTTTCCTGACTCTAAAAGCTTTAGAGAGTTTCTATAGGCAAGCCTTGCCAGTCATGCTTGCTGTTTTGAAATTTCTAATACACTCTACTCCACAAATAATGCGTAAAATGCTAAGAATAATAAATATATTTTTTGGAGCTTTGTGATTTATGGTGCCTAAGTCTCCTAGCTGTTCGTGGGCAAATATCAATGAGGTTTAGAGAGCAGAAAATTAGCTTTACCGTTCTAACACTGGGATGAGATATAGAAGATTCCCGAGTTAGAATTTCAGCTATGCAAGCTTCTTAATGACTTGTCTTCTAAAGGGACTGACATATAGAAAAATGTTAAGACAACAGTGTAACATTATCAGTCTCTCAAGCTCAAGTGCTTTCCAGACTGAATGGGACAGGCCATAAAGTTAAGCAGCATAGTTGAGTATCAGTAAGCCATCTCAAATATGCAAACATAGGTCTCTACCTTCCAGTGTGCTGGGAGACTGTTATACTTAGCTCACTGTACACGGTTTGGGGGGCACTAGAGCGGTTTTCTTTTCATGTTTAGCTGTTTAAATGTTTTGTTTTGTTTTAATTGATTTACAGCTTTGTTTATTGCCCCTTTTTCCACTGTAGTTTGCTTGTTTGTGGGGGAGAGGAGGTGGCCATCTTTGGGAATTTGTTAATCTGCCATGCAATAGCAAAGTGATCGTATTAATAATGTCAGCGTTTGGACGTCTGGCATTAATTGTGTTTGGGTTGCATGAGCGCATTTACAGTAGGGGGTACCCCCTCTTTCTGCCTTTGGCCTGTTCTCACAGGCGAGTAAGGCACAGAAATATACGAGTCTCTGAGGGCCTGATTCTTGCCTAAAGCTGCTGAACTGTCCATCAGCTTTGGGAAAGTTACAGAGGGCCATGGCATAAATCAGGAGCAAGTGAGAACAGAACCCTGTGCTCCTCTTTGGTGAGCGGGCCGAGCTGTGCTTCCAGCGGCGCCTGCTCCCCACTGGGGCTGGCGGGCAGGGAAGCACACGGAGTTCTCTGGGAATCCCACTGCCCTGGGACTGGCTCTGTGCTCACAGAGATGCCCTGTGCATTACTGTGAGCTTTGCTTCTGCTTTATCCCATGGCTCTCCATGGATAATTGCAGAAATATCCAGGGAGCAAAGCCCCCAGGGAACGACCACGCTTGATACGCTTTAGGAAGTAAACTCCAATTTAAGAAAATACTGAGTCCTCAGCATTAATTCAGTAGCACAAAATGGACTTGGCTATTTTGACCACTTCTAGAGGCAGGGCTGAAGGTTTCTAATACAAAATAATATCCCAAAATACGGGGTGCAGTTAATCTGTCCATAACACTTTATACGTCACTGTCCATGCACAAAAGACGCTTTATCGTGGGGTCTGTTAGACAAGGGCCCGTCCAGGAATCACAGGCGCCTGCTGTTCTACTTTTCCTGTTCTTGTTTTGGGAGGTGGGTGAATGTTTGGGCATTTTTCTTTCCCCTCACCTTGGTTTCAGCAGAACAATAGTTCTAGGAAAGGGTGGTGGATTTTTGGTGGTTTTGTTTAATTTTAAGACAGTTGTTTGAGGGCTTGTCAGCCAAGGAACTAAGTAGGGACAGAGGCGGCAGACGGGGTCAGCGGAATCATTGCTGCAAGGCATGAAATTTGGTTTGCTAAATATTTAAAGAAAGTTGGAGCCGGTTTTGTTTTCTCCCTTTCACTTGTAAATGCAAACTGAATTTTCAGTGATGGCTCTGATAAATACTGCACCCAGCTAAGTAATAAAAAGTTCATTTTCTTTTGTGTCCACCTTTCAAGGGCCGGAGCAGGGGTAAAAATCACATTCTTAAAGATTCACTGTTTTCAAACCCAGTCCCAACACTAGCACAGACTAAACTGGTCATTAAAGAAAATAAAAAGGCAAATGCATTCTCATGATGCATTCTAAAATCCTGCAAAGGGAAAATTTGAAAAAGTCAGGATTATTTTTCCCCCCTCTAAAATCTTTGCCTGTGGAATCGGAGATTCATTGTTTCTCTCCTTACTTCCCTTGAGCACAGAGTGCTATGGGGCTTGAAAGTTTGCATAGGAGAATATTTAAATTTAAACAAAAACATAATGTCCATAAAACTTGAAACTGACAGCAGCTTTCCTCCAGCCCTGATGCTTTCTGAAATCTTAGTAACAAGTTCTTCCAAACTAATCTTGAGCCAAATTTGACCTCTCTCATGATCTCCCTCCACCTGGTGATGCATTTTAATTTTCTTTTTCTTTTGGTTAGTCAGCGGCCAGGAGAGCAGGGACTTGTTGTGCCAACTGTCAGACAACCACCACGACCTTATGGCGACGTAATGCAAACGGGGACCCAGTTTGTAATGCCTGCGGACTCTACTATAAATTGCACAATGTGAGTATTTACTCATCTCATGTGTCGCTGCTTGCCTAGTGTGGATTGATGTCTTAACTGCATGGTGTACACTAGGCTTTTATTGGTTTCAGGGGGTTGGTTGTTGTTTTATTCCTTCCCCCGTCTCTAAGGTTCCCCTGGGAAGTGACAGCCGTTCTTTGTCAGCATAGTGATGCTAAGTTCGGTGACATTACAATGTATTAGCTTGGCTTCTAACGCTTGGGCAAACCAGGCAAAATAGAGCTGCCACACTTGGTTTTAACTAAGTGGGTTTTGTGTTCAGTTTCCCTCCAGAAACAGAGGCCATTTGGAATGGGCTCTGTATAAAAATTAATCCTGATGGGCTATCTTCATTTTGGCTTGTAAAAAAAATAATTGTATCTAAGGCTTTGTTGTATTATTTTATTTTTTTTTAAAAGAAATTAATCCTAAGCAGAAACACTTGATACGTTGGAACATTATTTACACTGTAGGTAACAGAGGTTACTGGTACAAGATTGCTCATGTCTCAGGACTGCATTTGGGTCAGCGTGTGCCTCCTAGTTTGATCTTCTATTAGGAAATTAATGAGGACTGAGGGTAAGCCTACGGGAAAGAGAGTCATCAGCTGCCAAATTCAGTTCAATTTATTTTTCATGTCTAGGGGTTTTTTGTGTGTGTGGTTTTATTAAACAAATCAATATAAACAAGTTCTGCAGAGAGAAACACCATTTTTTTTTTGTCCAGAAAAAGGTCTCCATCCAGGAAAAACACATGGGGGCTGTCCAAATATTTTCATTTTTGCACAATAAGGTCATTTTGTCTGCATGAGCCTGATTTTCTCATTTCTTGCAGGTGAACAGGCCTCTGACCATGAAAAAGGAAGGAATTCAGACCAGGAATAGGAAAATGTCCAACAAATCAAAGAAAAGCAAGAAAGGCTCTGAGTGTTTTGAGGAACTGTCCAAGTGCATGCAGGAGAAGTCGTCTCCCTTTAGCGCTGCTGCCCTTGCCAGTCACATGGCACCCATGGGGCATTTGCCCCCTTTCAGCCACTCTGGACACATCCTACCAACACCTACCCCCATCCACCCATCTTCCAGCATCTCATTTGGACACCCACACCCATCCAGCATGGTTACAGCCATGGGATAAAACCTGATGACCAAGAGACCCATCCAGATATTAAGAACATGGGACTTTGCCTAAGATGACACCAAGTAAGACAATGTTCTGCCAAGAGGAGAATGTAGGGATGGCAAAAGGAGACCTTTGCTCCCATGTGGTTTAACTCTTAATGCTGGACTAAAACCTTGCAAATGATGGGTCTTCTGCAGAAATGTGTAGTGGTGCCTGTAATGCACTTTGCCCCCTCAGGTATAAGAAAAAAGAACTCACTTGTTCGATACTTAATGGTCCAGCAGGAAGAAAAAGATGGCAGAAGCTGAAGGAGAAGGCTTGGAACTGGCTTTCCTTTCTCTCTTTGATATTACTGTGAATATTGTAAAGAGATATAAGCAGCCTCCCAGGATGGAATTGGCTCACTGGAAGCCAGACATGCTGGATTTCTATTGTGGACTTTGGGATAGGGAAAAAAAAGAAGAAAAAAAGCCAAAAAAAAAGAAAAGGGAAAAAAAAAAAAAAGGCGTCTTTATTAAACCGTAATTTTAAAAATCAGACAGAAAGTCATATTTATTTTGTTTTCCACAAAAAGCCTCAACCCCTCTGATTGCATGTTTTTGTGCTGTCATTTGCAATGGCTACCCTAAAAGAAAAGCTGCCTTCAAAACAAGGAGAGGGGAATTGTACTCAACAGCCCTCTTGGATTAGCTCCATCTATCCTCCATACCAAAGTTACTAGGAAGGGGGAAAAGATTCCAAAGGTGAGGAACAAAGCAAAAATGTAGCTGTAATACGGGATTTTAATAAGCCCAAGATGGTGATTATTTTGACACAACCTTCATTCTTCTCCCTAGCATGAAAGATTTATTTGAAAAAAGAGCCCCTCTCCCAACTACCCTATTGTTCCTCAAACCAGACAACCTAGGTCAGACAAACTGTTGGGAAAAAACTGAGGAAGGCAATCCTGCACTAGCAAGGGGTGATAGCTGCAACACAATTTTGGTAAATTCCTGTGTAAGTTCTAGCACAGCCAAAACTATAATGGGGCACAAAAACCATCCTGCTTGCAGACTTTAGAGGTTGAAGCATTTTGTTCTGTTGTGTTGGCAGCTGTTGCTTAAAAATGCAGATTAGCTGCTTGGGTAAACTTTGGGCAGTGTGGCCACCACATCCACATGCAGCCAGCGCGTGCTGTCTCAGGCATCCAGGCCCCGGTGGACTTCACAGGGAGGAAGGGCAGAAATGAGGCTGAGATCACTGGAGAGGGGAAAAAGAGAGACAATCAGTTTGAGCTTCACACATCCGTCAGATCCCAGACACAGAGACAGCTGAGGGAAAGCATCGTTCTAAGGGGAACGTTTGTTTTCCGTAGAGGGTTTTATATGAAAAAAAGAAAAGAACAAAAAAATCAATTTAAATCTCCCATTATTAAAACATATTGTACGTAAATGACCTAAAACAAAGCTATTGCCAATGTGAAGTGTATTCTATTGATTGTTATGATCTGATGCCTCTCGTGAACACAAGCTCCAGTATAACACACAGTGTACATATTTAGGTATACTTCTGATGAAAATGCCCCAATGAACAGAGGGGTTTGATAATGTAAACAATGTAAGCTTAACTCTGTGACAAGCTTTTTATTTTATTTTTTTAAATTTTAACTATTTTGTTGTTGGGATTTTCCTTTTTTTTTTTTTTTTTGGATCAAGCCAAATTGTATCTTTACTGCAAAAGTCCTGCTTTAAAAAAAACAACAGAATGAAATAAAAAAATGGGTGTATGTAAATTTTTTTAAAAACCTGTAATTCTAGTATTTTATAATTAAGAACCAAGCAGCCATGAAAATCCTGCTTTCCTCCTTTTTCTTTGGTCTGCGTAGGCATATAGGTGCACTTTGTAAAGAAGTGGAAAGAAATGGGAAACCAAATTGGTTGGGAGAAATCATAAGAATTTTTAATCTACTGAGGTAAAAAATTAGGTCCTTTTTACTTTTTACCTTTTACAATGGTACAGTTGTATATTATTTGTACCCAACTCAAATTTCTGTAGGATTTGGGCAGAGGGGAAGGGATGTGGGTTAAAGACAGGGATTACTGATACAGTTGACAAAGTGCAATATATTGTCAGTCACTGCAGCATAGACAACAGCAGTTGAGATTTAAATTATTTTGTACTTGTATCAGCATAAAAAAATCTTCAGTATTTTCTGTTTTTATTTTAATTTTTATTTTGCTTATTTTTGGATTAGTGAACTAAATTATTGTTAATTATGTACAACATGTTTATATATTGTCTGTAAAAAGTGTATGCTTTCCTCATATTCCTTCAAGGTGAATATTGCTAAGAATAATAAATACCTTTTTTGTGAAACTACCTGTGCCCTGCTTCATGTCATAAAAGCTGCTTTTAGTAGGGAGAGAGGAAAAATTATTGTCATTGTTGCCAGTAGAATTATTGGCTTATACCTTATGCAGAGCAGTCTTGATATTTTGAAAACCTAACAGGGTAGGACAAAAAAAGGTAGTTAAAGAATGATTTAGTATTAAAAGCACAGGTACAAAAGCTCATTCTCCAGCGTTGTTTTGGGGTGACGAGGTCATGCAGTTAAGTGTGCCAAAGTTTCTAAGCTAGTTTAAATTTTGAGGCAGCAGCCACATTGTAGATGATGAACTGTGGTTTGTCTTGAATTTTTTTTTTTTTTGGTGTGTTGATTCTTTTATTAAAGTGCTTGGAGAAATACTTTTACATTAAAAACACATTTTAAAAGCACTGTAAATGTAGAAAAGTGGCCAGCTGCTTAATGGATTTCAAGGCAGGACCTGTATTAGACTAGGGAAAGTTCTCCAAAGAAACACTCTCCACCTGGAAACCTGTGCAAGGGGGGATGGCCAGCCTGGAACTGCTCAGTGCTGCCCTGGGAACGAGGACTGCAGCCCTGGGAGCAGGGAGGTATGCACATGGACTGGCATGTGAGGATGGAGAAAATTGCTTGTCAAACAGATTTTCCATGACCAAAACTTTGTGGCTGCTTTCATCACACATTCAAGTTTGACCCACACAAGGAGCCCCTTGGGGCCTTCTGAAGTGCAGCAAAGTCTTGCAAAGTCACCCTGCTGTGCGTAGGGGTGCACATTACTGCTGCTGCAACAATATTTTCAAGAAAACTAATGAATTTTGGGTTTCCTCCTTTGACTCCCTATGGAAATCAGCTTGGGGATAACTCTACTCATTAAGAAAAAAAATAACCTTGGTTCCTTTTTCTGTGTGTGTGTGTGTGTATGTAAATCCCAGCTCTTTCTAGCAGTGCTTCTCTTTCCTGCTGCAGTCTTTTGCCCAGCCCTGGTTGCAAGTCCTGCTTGTGAATACCACGGAGTTGCAGCAGCTCTCCATGTGCTGAAGGAATAACACACAACTGGGACAAGGCCTTCCTGCATCATTTTGCATGAGTTAATAATCTCTCTAACTTGTTCAGCAAGGCTTAGTGCAAACACCCATTAAAAAAAAAAAAAGAAAAAAAGAAGGCAGTTTATAGCATACTGTGCAAGCTTCATTTAAAAAAAAACATGTTCTTTTTCAGGCAGGTTTAAAATGGGATAACTAAACTCAGCCTCTCTCCTATGCTTGAATAACTGAGAAAGGAGAACTAGCAACATCTCTTTAAAACAGGAATAATCAAGCTGTTTGCTTTGGTTGCACAGTACACATCCCATTCAGATTGTGATGGTGGCTTACCTGGGGGCTGCCTCTCTGCCGTCGGTTTGCTGGTTTGGTTGGATCTGCTGACAGAACTGGGGCCATAATCCATCAGGCTGTCAGGAGGGGTGGTGCATCCCCCAGCGCCCGGAGGAGCGTGCTTCTCTGAGCAGAGGCTTCAGCAGTTCCTGCAACACAGATAATAAATAATCCCATGTTTGTCAGGTGGCACTAATCTGTGAAAGATCAAACCATCTCTCTGCAATGTGTGTATTGTGTTTGTCTCCAGACATTTCGCATAGCAGAAGAAAAACAAACAGCAGGGAATGGAAATGGAGCAAGTGTGTAAAGTTCAACGTAAAGTGTAAGCACAGAGCAGATATCAAGGCAACAAATTGGGATTTATAGTCCTTTCACTACCACCAAACACTGGGGGACAGAATTTTTGTGAGGGGGGAACCCTGACATTACTTGCCTTTGGTTCCTGTTGTTGGGATTATTGTTTTAAGCAGTGCTTAATTGTCATGTCTCCACGGCCACATCAAAAGCCAAGAAGATTAGGTTACAGGGAGTGTTTGATGTCAAAATACAAAATAAATAAAAGGGAAGCTGAAAAGGTACTGTATTTTCCATGATGTCTACTGAGGTTTTTGCTTCAAACATCCCTTTTTAAACTATTGTTTTGCAAAGGTTGTGCTTTTAGTGACAAGATTTTATTTACTTACTTTCAAATGACTCCACTGCTTTCCTGCAACAGCTCGAAAGGGTTAATATCCCCTCTTTGATGGCAAACATGGTATAATTAACGCAAACTTCTTAAGTATCCTGGTGACCTGTAGATGGCCACATGAGAATTTTGTTATTTACTGACTTGCCAAACGTTTATTGCTTATAGAAGGACAAGTGGGAAGCAGGCATTAATTTTGATGCTGTTATCTGTGATTGCATGTAAAGTTCATAACAGAGAGTGCCTATATGTCAACTGCAATTAAGCGTTTTCCCATTTTTAAAAAAATATAATTTCACATTGGTGGAGGGGGTTGGGGCAGCAGATTCACAAACTGAATGCCTGCCCATCCTCGGAGCAAGCGTGACACAGCCAGACACAGGACAACTTCCCCTTACCTGCAGGCTGCAAAAGAAAACAGTCTGGCGCCATGGAGCATTTGATCCTTGGCTTCTCTGCAGAGACAGTCAAATCAGTACCAACTGTGGCAGGGCAGAGAGGGAGATTTTGTGGTGAGGCATCTCCCCTTGGAAATTAGCCTGAAAAACAACCAAAAATGAAGCCAAAAGTGGCTATCAGGTGAATATGTTCATTTATCACCAACCTGGACTGGATTAGAATGCATGACCTAGAAGTAAAATGCTTTGTTTAGCCCAATTCCCTGGGCCATCTGGTCCTTGCAAGTAAACATTTCTAAGTGAGATTAAGTGACTGTTCTTTAAGCATGGTGATATGAGTGCAAACCAGGCTGCTCTGGGTCTAACAGATCAAACCTCAGCATCAGGGCAGCTGGCTGGTGCCAATTCAGAGACACCATTTGCTTGAACAGCTTTGGGTGAAATTCTCTGTGGTGCCAGCTTTGCAGCCAATCCTGGTGGCTCAGTCTGATGAGTTCCTGTCAGATACATTTTGTCCTAAATTCAGGGCTTACATTGCACCAAGGTGCTGCTGAGAGGTCTAGGACCCCCACCTGAGGAAACTTTTGGGAGACACTGCAGAACTGCCCTGCATTTGCAGTAAGAACTAAGCTGCATTTCTGAGCAGCAAAAGTGCATCTGAAGAAAATGCGGCTGCGGGATGAGAGATACTGGTGAGAGGGAATCCAGAGTGAGAGAGAAAACATCCAGCAGGTAGAAAGACAATAGTGAACTAACCCCTCCTCCAGGGAAAGGCTTCGACATACCACTGAGGGAGGGAACTGCTACTGCTGGCTCTATAAAAACCTGAATCAGGGAAGTATAATGCTAACGCAGCCTATACAGCAGCACCAGGCAGAAAACAGCCATTTGCCTGTATCCTTCACACACCTCTCTGTGCTCTGGGCTGCAGGGAATTATTTGGGGGAAAGTTGACTCTGGCTCAGGAGGGTCAAGAGCCTGTGTAAATCATTTGGAGTTGGGCCTATCAATGCCAGAACGTGAACATGGACCCTTGTTTCTTCTAAACACTTCAGTGCTTCACCAAGTCTTTCCCAATGCTCTTAGTTTCTTCCGGCTCTTGATTCAGCTCCTGCCTGCTCTCTGTCAGGCAGAGAGTACATGGCAGATTTCTTTACCTGGGGCACTCTATTGTCTATTTGGTTGCGCTTTTTTATCTCTGGTTCTTTAGTTTACTCCTAGTTGCCTACATTGGCATTCTAGTGGCAGGTTATATTGCTAGGGGGATCTCAAGGCAATCCCTACTGGATTTTGCTGTAAAATACAGATCATTTTACCATCTCCTGCTTTAATTCAGCCCATCCATTATTTTGCTTTATTTTTCTTTTTTTTTTTTTTTGTGGGTCCTTGAAAATTTTGGAAGTAAAACAACCCCATGTTGAGAGTTAATCATAGATAGAACTAGATGAACAAAAAGAACAGACCAAAATTGTTCACATAACCTTTGAGCCCACAGGCACTCTGGACTGCACACTATTTTCTTCTTTCCAAGCATTACTCCCAGCAGCACAGGAAAGATGTTCTTGATGAAAAAGCACATCTCTGGAGGCAGACCACTGCCTGACTAGTGCCAGGACTCGCCCCATTCCCTCACACACTCACTTTCTGATAACAAGCATAATTACAGTGCTCCCTGCCTCAGTTTACCCTTGCAAAAGAGGCATAAAGAAGACATGACCTGCCCTATCAGCTACCTACAAGTGTTAACTTGCTCCAGCCTAGCAAACTTCAGGGCAAGTTCTAACAAATGTCAGCATGTGGTGTGTACTGATAGGCACAGGGAAAGGGCACAGCACTCTCTAGGTTAGAAGCTCCTCCCTGCCTTTGCTGTGGAGCTGCTGCACTGCTCTTACCACCTCCATCCAGCTGTTTGTGGCACAATGACACACTGGAGACATTAGTCATTGCAGTGCATCCCCTGGCTGATTCCAAGTGCTGACCACACACACTCACGGACAGCCCCACGCACACACAGAGCCGCACGCAGCCCTTTTGCCATCTCCCATGCTCTCAGCCCCTGACCTTCCTTTCACATGCTCTAATGGTCACTAGAACACTGCAGAGAGAACACAGTCCTGCTATTAAATAACCCTAATTTGTCTACAGGCCTTTCCCCCTCCTTCCCCTTACCTCAGTCTCCCGCGACTTAACGTTTAAAACAGCTGAAGTTTACAACAAATCAAAGCTCCCAATAGGCCCAGATTGTCTAAATACGGAAAACAGGAAGTGAGTAACCTTCAACGGGAAATTGTTCATCCGATGGAGGCCAAGACCCAAGGCCCAGTGCTCTGCAGTCCTGCCCCAGCCCAGCAGACACAGCGTGTACCGAGTGGACACGCTGAGTTTGGCAGGAGGGAGCGGGTGGGGGAAGCTTCTGCTTCTCTTGCACTCACGTCACAGCTGCCTCGAGAAAGGAGACAGTGTTTGTTGCCCTACAGAACAGCAGAAGGGCAGTTGGAAGGGTAATTTTTAAGAAGACCAGGGATGGGGTAGAGAAGGAGACAAAGGTCAGAAGGTAAAACAGAGAAGATAAATTAATCCAAACTAAAATGGTCTCTTGTTTCCTAAGAGAGTGAAGATGGCAAGAGAGCACTACAAGTGGTATGGGTTGCTCCCAGAAGGGCGGGGAGAGATTTTGTGTGACAGCCCACTTGATGACGAAAAGGAGAGCACTTCATTTCCTAGGCAGTGAGAATAATAATTTCTTTTTGTTGAGTAACTTGCCTGCTTCCCCCTGCCAGGAAAGATCCCAATTATTTTACCAGCTGTTTATCTAAGGCTTATATTATTCACTCCTGAATTGCAACCATTAGTGGGGTGGAACACAGCAGCTGTTTAACAACTCAAAACAATGCCCCTTTTTTACGGAAGGTCATATTAAGATCCTCTCTAACTGAAGGTGAACTTCTTTCTACATGCTGCATCCACTGGAATAAAACTTTGCTCACAATTACATTTCTGTGAGAGTCACCAAACTGCCAGAGAAACTAGGATGCACAAACACACCCAGGCATGCCTGAGTCCTTCCACTCCAACTCTGGACTGGGCTAATGAACCATGTACCACAAAGGCCCCTGTGTCATGGGCAACTTTCTTCTGACCCCCTTGGAACCTACACCTGTGCTCACATGCCAGTTTTCCACTGGGCAGCGTATGGGATAAACTCCAGCAATGAAGCCTGGTCTCCAATTCGAGAAACAGACAGAGAAAAAAACAGGCATAGTTTGGTTTGGAGTTTGGCACCACTGTGAAGGAGATGGGGGTTGTTTGGTCCCATCCTGGTTTCTTGCTCCAGGACTGGGAGTGCTACAGATAAAGGGGACTCCTGGGCAGGTGTGCACACATGGGACAGTCCCCAGAGGACATTCATGCAGAAAACACAGCTGGAATCAGACCTGCCTGACTGGGATGCTGCACCTCTGTGAAGACAGGGGCTACAGAGAAATGTACAGCCATGGTAACTGTTGTGTCATTTGAGGAAGACAAGCTAGAGATGAAGCTTCTAGATAGATTTCTTTGTTGCAGAATTTCAAATACTGCACTGAAATTACCCTTTAAAAATATTTTTTAAATATTTGGTTTAGGCAGAAATATTTTCCCTCTTGCTCCTGCAGCCTTTTTCTGCAAAGATTTCCCCAGATTTCTTGTGGTTTATATAGGTGAATAAAATGGAACTCGTGGCATTTGCTTCACAGAGATTTTCTCTCTTGCATAAAGATGAAGTCTAGTTGGTTGTTTTGCTAGCAAACCAGCTGGCTGGGAGAAAGATGCTCTTAATCAAACAGCCTTGCTGCCTCTCTGGAGAGAACTCTGTCTTTTTTTCCCATCACAACAGGTTTCTTCTTTGTTCTCTGGTGGGCAGGTGTTGTCCCTGTGGGATGTGAAAAAGGGCAGGCTCTGATCCCATTAAAGATAGCCCCATTGGTAATAGATCAGAGGGGCATCCCTAGGTTGTGGGAGAGTATGCCTGTCTTGCTTCACTGGCTAGGGAATAATAGAGCTGGCTCTCAATGATACTTGCAGGGTTTCTAACAAGAGTCCTGTTCTCCAGAAGGACAATGAAAGGGAAAGGAACCCAGAGAGTGATGGCTGTGTCTGGCATTGCCAGAAATCACAGCTGGTCCTGCAAGTGATGGGAACGGGGATGATGCCTCTACCCAGGAAAGATGCAAAGAAATGTTCCCCCACTGCATTATCTTCTTGTTTTACTCTCTTTCTCCACTGATTCCACAGCAAGCTGACTTTGAGAGATATGAAAGTGAATTTTTCTCCAGTGGAAGGCAAGACATGGATAATCCCTGAGACAGAAACACTGCTGTAACCCTTGGTCTCAGCCACTCCTTACACCTTCCATTTTGAGGGTTACAGCAGACCTGACTTCCTGGAAAGAAAGATTGGGTGTGTGGGCTAAAGGAGGTCAGGGAGCTCCAACCACATCCCTGGCCTGGATGAGGTGGTTAGGGAATCAGGGCTGTGGCTTGTCCAGTGGATCCTGTCTGCCTGCAGTCCAGACATAGCAGGAGTAGCTGTTTTCCTGCTGGCCTTGTGCTCAGAAGAACTGAGACAGCAGCAAGGATCTCCAGTGCATTTTCTTCTGTGCTTCCTAAAGTCTTCCAGGAGGTGAATCTGCTGTACCCAAGAGCTAGAGACTCCTGAGATTTAGAACAGGCTCTACACCTGCTTAACTCAGTCCCCTACAGTCTATGCCTGCTTAGTTAAGGCAGGATTTTTCTACATCATGTGGTGTTGTGGCAATCCATTAATCTGTGTTAGTGCAGGCCTTGGACATGGTCACATGCCAAGAATGGAAACTTGCAGCTGGATGCATGTAGCAGGCAAAATATGCAGCTCTGACTGCAAACCATACCAAAGGCACATTCCCAAAGTATGCACCAGCACTTTGGGCCCAGAGGCTTGTCCAGATGAAGAAACAACTCTTACAGACAACGTGTCCAGGCACAGGCTTTGTGAATTTCCTTTCTTTGTCAGATCCCTGTTGCCAGAGTAATTCCATCTCCAGCAAAGCTGTTCAGGAGGGACACACACCTGTCCAGTAAAGGTCCTGCATCACAGAGTTAACCCTGAGCTCCTGACCCAACACCCAGGAAAGCAGCCACCTTGGGCAGTCTCACTGGGGCCAGCTTTCATGGGACCCTGACAAGAACAGAGATGGTAATGGAATGTTACACAGCTGGCTGTATTTTAACAGTCTTTTTGCTTTCTTTTCCTATGTTCTTCATTAGTGTCACTTGGAAACTGCACTCCTTTTGCCCTATGCACTCTGCACCACTTGGACATCTTTTCATCTGCAGCCTCATCCTTGCTGCTGTCTTTCTGATGGTTCACTCTCCCATTTATATCTTTGCTGAATTTACCTCTGTGACTTACAAACCACCTAGAATCCTTTAAATCCACTGCACTAGGTCCTTGGATGACTGGTCATTCTCCTTGTGAAAGCACCCTGAGTGCCACTACACTTGATCCAGCCCTGCCTGAAATCACCACCCCTGCTCAGCATTTCCACATCCTACCTTCACTTTTAGTGCTGATGCTGAAAGAGCACAGCTCTCTCTCCATGTGTATGTATGTATGTATTTATACACATGCTCCCACCACAGAAAGAGACCGATTTTGCAAGGTTTAATATGCTCCCAGTTCTGCTGTGGACTCTTCCTCTTTTGTTGCAGCTGTGGTTTTAGGGCAGGCTTTGTGGGTTTCAGAGAGTCCTTGGATGCCTTAGGAAATGTTCTGCAGAAGTGCGCTTTCTCTCCATGCATTTTGCACTCCAGCCACCAGGTCCTGAAATCTCAGTGCACAGGATTTCCCCTATTTAGATGAACACCAAATCTACTTGACTTTCAGGCATTGTTTCTGATTGATACCACTCATTTATGCCTCCAGAGTCAGGCAAAGAAACAGAAGAACCAGCTGGATTCACTCCTGCATCAGCAGTGGCTCTAACTGAGACACAGCACAGCATCAGGATGCTCGGAACAGCCAAAGATCCACCACCTCCTCACAGCCACAGCAGCCCTGCAGTGGCTGGTGTGAGCTACTTTGCCACAGCTCTGGAGAGAATAAGATCTCACCCGTTACCCCTAATGTGTGTCCCTGACACAGGAGAAGCAATACAACCTACCTTGTAAAAAATAAGGGAAAGCCTGTGAGCACCAAATAACTGAAACAGAAACACTGTCTGCCTCTCCTGTTCTTATCCTAGTTACTCATGAAGGAAAAGTAACCCTGCCTTAAAAAAGCTAAGGATTAGCCCAACACACCTGGGTGCCACCTGCTGCTTTAGTGTCTCTAGCTCACAGTTTTGTGACGAGCTGGGTGCTTGACAACAATATCCCTTTGAAATGGCAGGTATAGAGCTGAAGGTTTGGAAAAGCATTGCTCCAGCACAGGGTAATTGTCAATATGCATGAAGACAAGCTTCCTGAAGCTGGCTGGGGGCAAGAAAGGGGCAGCTCAGGTGGAAAAAAGGCACAAGGCACACCTGTGCTCCAAACCAGCTACCCAGCAACTTGGCCCTTTGGATAGAGCAGCCTTGAGGTGGCTCTGACAGGCAGAGCACACAAATGCTGCGATAAGAAAAAAACCCCCAAAGCAACAAACAGAATGTCTCACGAGGTTTAAAAGCACAGTTGTTCAGCCTTGCCTATTTGTATGGGAAGCAGGAGCTGCAGCTCCTGAACGTGGAGCTGGCAGGCAGCATAGGAAAGGAGAGGGAGGCGAGATATGTGGCTGAGGAATTTGCAGCCTTCAAGTTCCCTCTCTCCCGCCTCCTCCTCTCACAGGAAATGAAAGAAGCCTCTTTTGTGGAAGGAGGCTGGTAGGTGTGCATGCGTGAGTGTGTGCTTGGGAGCAGCCTGGTCTGGCTGTTCCCCTTCCCTGCGTGCGGGGCTCCTCTTGTCCCCTTCCCTGTGCTCGGGGATGCCGGAGCGCTCTGGGCCGGCTCAGGGCTATTCTTGGAAGTTTGCTCATGTGTGTCTGAAAAGGTGGATCAGGCAACAGAAGTGGCAAAACCACCAACATGCCCAGGCCCCGGAGGACTGCCTTTTCACTTTTTTTCTTTTTTTCTGTAAAACAACCTCCCCCAAACTTCTTCCTCCTTCCCCTCCTCCACTCTACCTTGCTGAACCGCAGGGCTAGAGCAGCAAAGCCTGAAATTAGAGGAAAGTAAAGGGCAAAAAAGTGGCCATGGG